CGTGCCCGTGCCCTGCAAACTGAACCCCGCCGAAGCCCTGTCCCCCAAGGTCTACGGGGGCTTCCAGCTCGTCCCTGCTACCGACGGCCAGTTTGCTTTTCTCATCCCGAACCCGGCCTTCCCTCCCAGCTCCGGACCAGTTATTCCCCTGTATGCCAACGCGAACGTCCCGGTGTCCGCAGGCGGCGGCTCGGGGAACGCGGCTGCCACCCCCTCAGCATCCCCGGTGCAGGGGTTGACATCATTTGGTGGCAGCATTGTTCCAGCATCCCAGGCGGGAAGTCCCATCGGAGAGCGCAGTGAATCCGTGTGGAGGCCTTGGTGACTTGCCTAAACTGATTTTTTTTTTTTTCCCTCCCCCCCAGAAAAACCCTATTCTGTTGGCTCCGTTGTATGGAGCCCTGTTATGTTTGGGGTTTTTAAGCAGATTTAAACAGAAAGGAAAAAAGGACCTCACTACAAATGTGCTATTTATTATTTTCAGAGGTTGGGATCTCGACTTGTATTTTTACTCCTTTAAAATGCCTTTATTTGAGATACTTTTTTTAAAAAAAAAATAAATGAGAAATAGTTTTGTAACAAATATTCGGAAGTATAATGCCAAAGTTGTTTGTATCCCGTTTGTCTGTGTGTGTGTGCGTGCCTGTGTTGAAGACTTCCAAAAAAGAAAAATTGCAGGTGTTTAAATAAATAAACTCTTTGAAATAGATTTAACTTTTTTTGCCCCCCCCTTCCTTTCATTTTTGTTGGGTGATAGCAGGCAGGGACAAACTCATCCTGTGTGTGGTGCAACACCCCCCAAAAAAAGTAGGCGTGAACTTAAATGAGGCTGTTGGGATTCCTGTGAAAAATAGTTGGGGGGAAGAAATGTCTCCGGAGAGCTTTGCGAGTGTCATGTTCCTGCTCAGAAGAAAGAGATTCCTAAAAATTTGCTCCTGGAACCTGAGGAAACGCTGCCTGCCTGCTCAGAGAGCTCCTGCGATCATGCTGCTGTTCAGATTTTTTTTGCTCTTTACCACCTTGCGTGCGTGGGGGTGGTGTGTGCAAAAGTTACTATCTCGCCTACAAAGGAGGCAAGAGAGTCTGTCCCTATTGTGAGGAGGGTAATTAGAAGGTATAAAGGGTCTCATCGAGTATGCAGCGGGCTCTTTGGGAAGTTGGGAACCCTATTGAAACGCCTGGGAACTCGGAGCTGAGGGTTAATGTGTGTCTTTTTTTTTTCTCGCCACTCTCATTGACAGGGCCAGATAGACTCTGATACTCAATGCTGTTGTAAATTCAATTGCCTGGCCTCACAATGCCTACCTCATAAAAGAGAATAACTTGGGGTTGTGGCTTTTTTTTTTTTTTTTTCCCCCAGTAAGCAAGGGAACTGAGGAAAAGACAGTTTTGCCACCCATTCTGACTCACCCCCAGTACTTGAATCTGGGCCAAGTGGAAGCAATTGCAGCCTCACACACACAGAATTAACCACTTCCAATTGTCACCAATTAATAAGGCCGTGGTGTGGAGAAAGACCATTAAGACTGAATGCACCGTATGGAAGGGAAAGCTTTGTGTGCTTTGCTTCAAATTTATGAGGTGGGGCTATCGTGTAATCTTGGAGAGCAAAGCCAACAGATGACATGTGTGCATGCCAGAGCCACATCTAGTGCATACCCCAGCTCAGCCGGGCTTCCTCTGGCCTCCGCCTGTGGGGTCCCCACAGGCAAAGCTGCTTCTCCTGCACCCCCCCACCAAGACCCAGAGGTTTTTCCGGGCTAGGTGGGTTGGGTCACGGTGGGACCGGCAGCGTTTCACGGTTCAGAGAATGACTTGATGTTTGCAGAACATCCAATTAATTCAACAGGCCTAAGGATTTTTTTTTTTTTTTTTTAGAATGGAAATGCAATTTCATCTTTCAAGGTCTAGTTCTATTAGCAGTCAGGTTGCAGCTTCTGCGAGAACAAGGCATTGTGTGTGTGTGTGTTGGCGGGTATATAAAGCAGATTATCCGCTTCCGAAGGCTTTCTTACACCTTCATGAGATTTCGGCCAAGGTTAGAGACAGGAGTGCAGGCTGCTTGGAGCCGGGTACTGAGCCAGTCCAGCAATCCCTCTGCACCACAGCGTGGGCAATCGATCAATGCTGAAAGTCCTCCATCGCACAACCAGAACTAGGTATCCATTTGAATCAGGAGGTTCCCAGGAGGTTTTGTTATGCAATCACAGACATAAAATCATGTTACAGCAATTCTCTTCCATCCCCCACAGCCAGTTACTACCCCTCCTCTTCTGTCTGAAGAAGGCTTGGAAGAGCAGATGAAAGCCTGCCTGTCGCCTCGTGTAACTGTATACCTCCCCGGGGCAGCACCGTGTCTCTGGACTTGTCCCTCACTGCCCAGTCCCCTCCAGATCCCCCCTAGATTCAGCAAATTTCTTTTATTGACAAGGTACCCAGGCCAAAAGCGAGACTGCCAAGCGCTACGCTGCTGAGTTCAGGCACAGGAAATAAAAAAAAAAAAAAAAAACCAACCTAAACCAAAACTCTTTTTTGAGTGGGTTTTGAATGATTGCAGCAGTGCAAACATGACACATACCGTGGCGTTCCTCTGGGACGCTCATCTCCCAGCGTGAGAGAAGCAGGCAGTCACTGCTCTGCCTCTAACGTGGGACCCTGGGATGAAGCACCTAAGGGCACCGCTGTCGCTTCAGCCTCCATACAAACACTGGAGTGAGGGAGCAGAGCCCCGGCGATCAGCACCCTACTTTTATGTCCAGCACTGCCACCTGCTCTTTTTTTTGGCCTCAGGCAAGGCATAGACTTCTCTGTGCCTAGGTCCGGTGGTACAGAAGCTGGACATGAGGTGCATGGCCCCGACAAACTTGCATACCAGAAGCTCAAAATCCTTCTGCAGCAAGGGATCTTGTTGCCCGTAACTCCAGACCGCTTCAGAAGACGTACAGCTCGGTGTGACTGAATCCCTTGGGCTGTGCCCAGACCCTGTACTTCTGCAACCGCTCATACTTCTGCAGCTGCAACTCTGCCAGGCTATTCCTCTACAACCGGGTGGCTGCCATGCTCCTTCAAGGCTTTCTATACGGCTGCTTCTCTAGATTGTGCTAAATTTGGTCTTATCCCTTTAAAAGTGCAGTAAAAGAGCAAAGTGTGCTGCTGCTGAAAGGTAAAAGTCCAAAGGGATGGAAACAGCGCCAAAGCGATAATGGTTAGGCAGAGCGCAGGCAGCCAGAAGTCCATGGGTGTGATGGCATGGTCTGGGTGTGGTGGGGCACGGCGAGGTGGGAGGAAAACAGCAGTGAGACCCAGCCGGCTCACGATGCCGCCTTCACCTGAACGTCACTGCAGCAGCTCTACCCTGTTCCAAGCGGGAAGAGACGGGGGATCATAGAAGCACAGAACGCTGTTAACCAGCCATTTCCAGGAGGCTCACCAGAGCAAGGAGTTTAGCTGCAGCCACAAAACCCAGTGCAACGTTCAGCGGTGTTTCAGCTATATCTCCACAGTGCTGCGGCCCCAGCAGGCACCCCCTAAGTACTGTTCGGTGCAAGGAAAGAGAATCTCCTGCAAGGCCCCAGGCAAGCAGCAAAGCCCCTTTCAGCCTCTGGGCTGAAAAGGCCGGCAAAGAACACCTGGGAAAAGCACCCGAGGCTGCAGCTGAGGTCTTTTTCCCTTCCCATCTCCTGCCCTGGTGCCTTTGCATTCTTCTGCTTACGAGTTTCCCAGAGAGGGAATTTTCTGGGGCTATCCTCCTGCCTGCGCTCCGCTCCCTGCCTCACGCAGCTGTTTCCTCGCCCTCCGCCTCCT